TAGTAGCAGTAGTGGTAGTAGTAACAAAAACTAGTAGTAGAAAAAGCTACTGATAATAAGACTAAGGGTAACAGTCATAAGAATGCTATTATTCATACCAGTAATAGTAGCAAATAGTATTAACGATAGTACTAGTAACAACAGACATTGTATCACCAGAGCACCCGGACCTGAAATTGAAGGAAGGGCGAGCGAGTGACAAGTGTTTCCTGAGGCAAGGAGAGTGCCCAATGGCATCATTTCAGGACGCCGAGAAGCCAGCTTCGTTTACGATAAGGCTTAGCTTGTAAATTTGGGGAAGACGTCGAGCTCCAGATTGCTTCGCAGGAACTCCAAGCTGACGATGGTGTTGGGGCATGCCTTGGCCGGGCGGCAGCCCTAAGTCCAAGTAGCAGTGGAGTTGGGATCATGTTCGGACCTCGAGTTTCCCAGCAAGAGAGCATGATGCCATCACTACATTACTACATGTGCATTTTTGCAGACCAATCCCACATTAAGAGAAGCTGGGACACTCAGCCAGCAACGGCGAGATGCTTCGGATGACGTTCTCAGGAATTCGCACACTGCAGTGGTCGGGACTATCTCGCCTGCACAGATCTCCTTTGAGGAGATGGGAGCTGTTCTCGATACTGAACCACGGCACTTTTAGTTTCGATTCCTGCGAACGGCCCTCAGGACTCTTTGGCTACGCTCAGATTCTGCGAGTCGGTCAAGCAGGCGAGCTGTCATGTGGTTTGACACGTCTGCGAGATTTGATACCACGGCAAGCGAAACTGAAGTTGGGGTCTATAAGTTCGACCTCTGTCACAGATGGACTGAGATATGTCCTTTCTCGTGAGGTTAGAACAAAGCCTGCGCTGCCCGTCTCGCATAGAGAGGATGTAGTCATGGAGTTGCAGGCCAGGGCTGCTTCTGACTGCTTCCGGGCTCCGCTGCTGTCATCATCGGCTTGGTCTGGCAATAGATTCTGTGATTTAATGCCCAAGCTGCCGTCAGGAATGTAGGGGCCTTCATCATTGGAATAGGTTTTGGAGGAGTATCTTACAGTGTGCTCTTATACTACAGTTATGGGCCATGGGACTACAATTAAGGGAACAATAGTACTTAGTGTTTGATGTTTCCAGTCGTGCATTGCGTCTGCGAGGATGAAGTCCGACGACTAGAGCTAGAACTCCTGCGCGCGCGCTCTGCCCCTTGGCCTCAGGAAGTCTTGCTGTTTGGTTTTCCTGTAGTTCGAGTGCCATTGCTTGTGCTACTTCCTGAGTATCAGTACGGGTATCGGTATTGCTATTGGTGTGAGTACAAGTATGGGTATTTGTAAATACTGGTATGAGAATCATACTACATATTGTTGTTCTGATGACTCTGATCATGGGAATGGCTGGTACGATTATCATAAAAAGCATAGCGAGTTGTATTGCCATTACTGTCATTGTTATTGTTGTCCCTTTGGTTCCTATTGTTACTGTTGTTGTTATTTGTTAGTATTGTTATTGTCATCTGTATTGCTATTGCTCTTCTTTTTTTGGCAATTCATTTTCCTATTCCTTTTTCTATTGCTGTTGCTTTTGCAATTGCCCGTACCGTTGCTGGTACTATTTCCAGTCTTTTCATATGATATTTGATTATTGTTCGTGTTTTACTACGATTATTCGTATCACTACTCTTATAATCAGTATTTGTATGATTATTGCGATTATTATTGTCATCATTATTGTTATATAGTTATTGTTATGAATATCACAAAAATGATAAGTATTACTATAATCAGTTATTTGTGTGGTTACTACGATCAATATTTGCATGATGATTACGATTATTACGGTTATCATTCTGTTATTATCATTAATTTCACCTAATATTTATCGTAAGTATGAATTTTCCTCCTCCTCCTCCTCCTACTACTACTACTACTACTACTACTACTACTACTATGCTTATTATTGCTATTCTTGTTACTTTTTGTAGTTATTATTCTTGCCATTATTACTATTGTTTCTACTACTACTACTACTACTACTACTACTACTACTAGTAGTACTAGTACTAGTACTAGTACTAGTACTACCACCACTACCACTACTAC